GATACCGAGCTCAAGCTTTCCCATGTTATTCAATCACGAAAACATCGCAGACCAGGCAAGCTCTCCGAATCCCAGTACTCGGAAAAACTATAAGGGAGTGCGAGAACCTGAGATTGCCGAGCTTGAGCAGATAGTGCGTCGGATCACGGACTCGGGCTCTTCAGTCAGGTCGACGTATGGCCAGGACTTGCAGCTGAGCATTGTTGCATTAAGAGATAAAGATCAACAGTCAGTGAGTGTACATGCCACAAAGACCCATTACTTAGTGGAAATGGCCAGGTATGACGCCGAAATCAGGAACGCTCGTGCTGCTGTGCACCAGATTTACCGTCAGATCTGTGACAAGCTATCAGCTGGCGATGCTAGGCACCCTTGGCTGCAACGCGGAAACATCTGGCCGTGCATCACCCCGAGGACGATTCTGCAACAGCTTCGAAAAACTGCATCAACCAATTTTGGGCCAAACATGCAACAAGCCCTAATCACGTACGGCCTTTCCATCGTTCACTTACAGCGTCTGGTTCGGATGAAGGAGCTATTTGCGAAACATGACCAAAGTAGGCTTGAGCAGGAACGGAGTTGCTCAGTCCATGCTTCATGGAATTACATGGAATACCCGGACTGGATACTGCTCGAAATTGATGGGAATGTGCAAATCCGTCAGGAGCAAGTGACTGTGGCACTGGAGATGGTCTCCCCTACCTCAGGATCCAACTCTGTTCTGCAGATGAATATGGGCCAAGGCAAAACATCGGTTATTATGCCGATGGTTGCATGCGCATTAGCTGATTGTAACAATCTTGTCAGGCTTCTAGTGCCAAAAGCACTCACGGCCCAGACAGCACAGGTCTTGCAGGACCGGCTAGGAGGCCTCGTCGGTAAAGAGCTCATGCATATTCCTTTCTCAAGGCGCACTCCCACAAACATGGAGTTGATCGGGGAATACCGCTCCCTCCATGAAAAGATGAGTAGCAAAGCAGGAATAATACTAGGTGTTCCCGAGCACGCACTATCATTTAAGTTGAGTGGGCTGCAAAGGGTTTCAGACCTAAAGCTTGCGGAGGCTGCTGAAATGATAAGGACACAGGAATGGATTGACAGTATTGCCCGCGACATCCTCGATGAGTGTGACTACACCTTGGCTGTTAAGACACAGCTTATCTACCCAAGTGGCTCGCAGCTTGCGGTGGATGGAAATCCCGACCGTTGGGAGGCTATTATGGGCGTACTAGGCTTGGTAGCCCAGCATGTTCGTGATTTAGCTCCGGTATTCCTCCAAAGCATCGACGTGGTCGAAAGGCCGCTCTGCTCATTTCCACTTGTCTTCCTACTTAGACGAGATGTGGAGGTCGCACTCACTGAGCGGATTGTACAAGATATTTGCTTAGGGCGAGGCTCTATTCTTCCAGTCCAAAGCTTTGATGTCACAGAGCAGGACGCTATCAAGCGCTTCATCTCCAAGGAATCAGTGGATAGCTCTGCTGCCAAATTCATTGAAGACGTGTTTCGGGACGCTCCCAGGGCATGCAAGAGAACGTATCTGCTGCGGGGGCTATTTGTTCATCAGATACTCCTCCTGTGTCTGAAGAAAAGATGGAATGTTCAGTATGGACTACATCCAGGGCGTGATCCTATGGCCGTACCTTTCCAAGCGAAGGGCGTCCCATCAGACTATGCCGAATGGGGCCATCCAGATGTTGCAATATTATTCACATGCCTTGCCTTCTATCATGAGGGCTTGAGTCAAGAGCAGTGCCGTCGGTGCCTCCAGGCTGTGCTAAAGTCGGATGACCCTGCAACGGAGTATGACCGGTTAACTCAGACGTCAGACCTCCCTGAAGCTTTACGGCATTGGAACCTCATCAACGTGGATGACCAAGGCCAAGTCGCTGAATTTTGGCATATCATGCGATTCTCAATGGCCATCATAAATTATTTTTTGAAACAGTTTGTCTTTCCAGTTCACGCGAAGCAATTTGCCATCAAACTTCAGACCTCGGGATGGGATGTGCCGTTCAATTCCACTGTGTCTGCCGGAGGTGCTAAACGCAACGGTGCCGGGTTAACGACTGGCTTCAGCGGGACCAACGATAATCGCAGACTACTGCCGCTAACAATTGAGCAGCATGACTTGCCGGAACTGTTGCACACTAATGCTGAGGTTCTTACTTACCTGCTTCAAAGCAGGAACAGAGAATACAGACGAGCTTTCTCAGATGGGGGACGGATGTCTGAAGCCGGACTCCTATTGAATTTGGCTGGAAGCGAGATCCGAGTTCTTATTGATGCTGGTGCTCTGATCTTGGAAATGGACAATCTGACATTGGTGAAGACATGGCTAGAGAAAGATACTAAGGCGCAAGCTGCAGTGTACTTTGGAACTGACAATAAGCCATGGGTTTGGTATAGAATTGGGAAGAATGTGCCACTTCTTGCTACTCCATATGCCGATAACTTGCAGAATTGCCTTGTCTACCTTGACGAGGCGCATACTAGAGGCACTGATCTCAAGCTTCCTCCTGACGCCAAGGGGGCCCTAACATTGGGACTCAACCAGACCAAAGACCATACTGTACAAGGTAGGTTTCTCCTTTAATATCCGCGGTTTTGTTATATAAGGAAATTCCCCCTAACTTATTCCTACAGCGGCCATGAGGCTTCGTCAACTTGGTACGACGCAGTCTATTATGTTTGTCGCGCCTCCGGAGGTCCACCAGAGTATCTTGGATGTCAACCAGAAGAGCCGCAAGGATAAAATAGATTCTTCTCACGTGGTATATTGGCTTCTTCATCAGACATGCGCAAGTAACGCCGAGTTGGAGCCACTGTTCCACGCCCAGGGTGTTGATTTTTGCCGCCGCATTCAAGCTGCATCCGAATTCCCAGAATTTCTTGAAAACACGGAGCATCGTAACAAATACATGGCAATTCTACAGCAGGCCGAGCAGCAAACATTAGAGGAGCTGTATAAGCCACGCATATGTGGTCTTGGTGACAAAGGCAATAGATCGATGGCTACTTCAACACCGGCAACTGGAAAGGTGGCTGTGTACTTGGAACAGCTCCACCATAGACGGCATCAATCTGATCTCATGCAGAGCGCAATCACAAGTTCCGCTTTAGAAGAGGTTGAGCAAGAACGAGAGGTCGCTTACGAAATTGAGGAGGAGAGAGAAGTGCAACGCCCACAGCGACTGCAGGCTTACGGATTTCCTGGGCTACACCCTGCTTTGTCACAATTTGCGATGACTGGGCAGCTGCAAGAATTTGGAACTCTCACTGCGGCAAATGTGCTTCACGAATCTCAACTCTCATTGAAGTTTGGCATGAAGAACAGCAATCTAGTGCCTCATCTACTCGTGTCTCATGAGTTTACAAGGACCGTCAAATCAAAACATAGGATAGGCGATGAGTTCACGGTAAGCACATCGCATTTAGCATCTACGTGTGATGATGATACTTAACTGACATAACTTACAGCGTTCCGTAAACTGGCTACTCTACAACACAAAGAATGAGACAGCGATCGTTATCATTCCCGAAGAGGCGGAGGCATTGATCCCCATTCTCCGTACCTGTGCTGCTCCGTCAACACATCTCATCACATACGCAGCACCGGTGACAAGGCGCATGCTGCACTTCGAAAAATTAGACTACTATACAATCCCACCTTTATCTTCATCACATACTCTGCCAGCATGGTTATCTTTCGAACTGGGGATTCTCGCTGGGCGGTTGTATTTCGGGTACACCGAGTACGAAGTGATAACGGAACATCTACAGCTAGGCCCTGAATGGCTAGATGCCAGTAACCCCGCGTCACGAGGGTTGGCAAACCAGATGAGTTTCGTGCAAGAATGGCTAGCCCTTCGCCGGCAAGGCCAGGACATCTCTCATACTCCAATGGGCTACATATGCCAGCGGAGGCCTCTTCGTGTTGATCATCCTTTCTTTGCAAACGCCATTACGAAGAAGGGTGCTGACCATCTACTTCCGTCTTCGGGGTACATGACTGGAACGAAGGAAGAGGAGTACTACGATAGTGATGAGGACGATGCCGGTGTTTATGTAATGGTGGATGACGAGACTTTCCAGGATAACCATGAGCAGCATGGAGATGGTGATGAGCCCGAATATGACAAGGTCGATGAGTTGAATCACAAGGATATCGAAGATGGCGATGGCTATCAGGATGGCGAGGAGAGAAATTGCCAACTTCAGTGAATGCAAAGAGGGTTACCATTTCAGATTTGTTTTGATCTACCTCATTGGGATATCTATGTCTGCTCTATCTGTGCTGGTTTCAGATGTGATTGCTTTCTTTTGTATCATGACTGGACTAGTTGGCGACCGTGGTTGGGCCATTGATTTAACTAGACTAGACTAGAACTGAGACAATATGAGAGCTAATGACAGTGCCGTCGAACGATCTTCCTACATTTTGTCAGTTGAACCAATAATATGTCCTCCACTATCAATTTTCAAGAGCTTTACACCCCGTACAAATATGTGTTCAACCCCCAGTCACCCACCCCCACCGCAACAAGCATTCCTAGACACAAATCGAAACATACGATTGTCCATTCCGTCTATGCGGTATTCTCTGTCAGACCATGGGTCCATCATATTAGCAAGCCAGTCAAGGTACCCTGTCTCCTTTGATCTTCCAAACGAACAGAAAACAAGACAGCTAACATATTGATTCCTTCGACAACGGCACATCTACATCCCTGTTTGATTTGAACTTCGATGCCAATGGTTTATATTGTCGAGCACGTCAAGCTATACAACAGTCAATTTATTAGTATTTATCATATTTGCAAGGGTACTAGTTGCGTATGAAGAGGAATGCTTGCAGTTGTACGTGGTCGTGGTATGATCCAGTGCAGTACGGTGCGTGACGACATCCTTTCTAAGACTATAGATGCTGCGACGCGCAATGATTATATTAATGGGCAGCACTGTTGCTAATGAGAAACAGAGGTAGAGAGTGATAATGGGGTCGTTCAGATGGGATATATGCTATTTAGTTCTAGAGGAAGACCTCTGCAAATAAACAGTATAAAACAGATCATACTGGACATGGTTCCCTTTATAAAAACGGTCTAAATAATACCCAAGGGTAGTAGATCAACGCCGAGCTTCAAATAACCCCGGCTTGGTCAGCCATGTAGTAGCTGTCTTTGCCGCGACCGACTGTTCATAATCTTGGATCTGCTCGTTAGCCTTCACTTTTGCGTGCTCGGCATCAGCAGGGATTTGAGCAGCCCATTCCCGTAGCGCGTCGAGCTCCCCTTGAAAATGTAGGGCCACGTCTTTCCATAAAGAGGCCTCTTTCTCCTTGGCGAACCCTGTTCTATCGCCCAAGTTGCCTAATTAGTTTTTGTCTACCTCGATCGCCTTCTGGACCTTTTCGTAGACTGCTGCCTCCTGCTCATATCCGCGAAGGCGTTCTCGTACTGTTTTAACAGTATAGGCATCGGCGTCCTTGGATTTTTCTTCCAACCATCTCCTAGCGCTTCTTATTCTGCCCTGCGCCGACTCAAGCTTTCTCTTGGTCTGAGAGTATTCCTGGGCGATTAATTTGCGCTCCTCCTCCAGGAGATCTTTGTTGTTTCTGCGAAAAGACCTTTCTGCCTTCCAAAGCTCCATCCGGAACACCCACTCTTCGTCCTTGCTCTTCGCTGCAGCAAGTGATTTTTGCAATCTTGCAATTTTGCGATCACTCTCTTCCACTGAGATCATATCTTTTTAATTGTAGTAATATTTGGTTTGTGTACTTTCCGACACTGGCATGACCTAAAGCCCTTAGTTGATCCACCTGAAATGCATCGCCATCGAAGTTGCCCGGCCATCCGTGCATCCGATACAGCCCTTTCACTTCTAGCCTTCCAGCATCCCACTCAATGCAGCTATCGTCGCTTCCACCTGGTAGTACCTTGAGTTCGCGATACCATCAGGCGATATCCCGCAATACATCTCCCGCAGGCCTGCTAGGAAGGTGCTCAAAGTTAGTCCTCTTCTCGCTCTCGGGCGCTTCATGCGGCACATCGTATAGCGCCGGGTCGCAGCTGCAATTCTCCACAGGATCAGGAATCCAGATGCGGTGCTTTCGTGCATCATGTATGATAACACTTGTGTGGCTTCCCATCTGTGATAACGCCGTCATCCAGGGACGCATGTATGGCCCGTCTCCGTCCTCTTCCGAGGGCCCGGGGCATAACGGATCACGGCCGTCTTCAACGCAGGACTCGTCACGAAAGTCCATGAAAGAACTGCCATCAAAAAGGCTGGTGTTTGCAATTTGTGAGTCCACATAGGGAAGGATGCTATAGAGGTAGATGATAGCTGGGTCCAGCCCATGTTTCTCGTACACCGGGCGCATTTTGGAGATGTCGTGAGGCCCAGTTTGAATCGTCTTAGGATCAAGGTACCGCATCTGTGCAAGAGTCTGGTAAATCTTCAGCATAAAATGTGCAACTTCATGTAGCTGGGCCTTCTGAGCGTTCGATATTCCGGTCATGGTGGGCTTCTTTGTAAGGGCTCGAAAGGATGATGGGGTGATCTTAAGCGTGAATATTGAATGACGATTGGCAAAGCCAGCTGGTCTAACCTGAATCTTAAGAAGCGTGTGAGGATAGTTCCTATTGGTAGTATATGTTACTTATAGCTCGGGGAAAACATCATCCCTGGAGTTCTTGGCCAATTGGGTTGGAGCCTGCATTCCTTGCGTCGTTGCTGCCTGGCCGCTGCCTGGATCCTTGCTTCGGCATGGTGGTGCTTGGACTGGAGATACTAGCATCATAAACTAGACTTGTTAAACAACCTTCATCTCCAAGTTTTGCATTGCAGCTCATTCTGCAATTTGCTTCAAATTGGGACCGCCGGGAAAGTCGCACAATTTGCGATAGGAGATCTCCGTTGCAACCCAGGCCTTTGCTACCATTGTGCAGCATATCATCTTGCTTGCTTTGCTACCTCATTAATCAAAGTGAAATTGGAGGGGTGGACCTCGAAGGGCCAATGTTGCAGCAAATGATCGGCGATGCTTCCTCGGTGCAGCATTGATAGTTAACAATAAGCGCCGCCGCTGCGTAAGCCGGGTTTTCCTTGGGCTCTCGGGCGACGATATCCAATAACTTCAGGGCGGATAGCCACATCTGACAAGTCAGTCAGTTTCTCGTATCAATCCGAGCCGTGACCCCGCTATGCTTACTCTCGACTGACCCAAACGTCGATTGATTCAGCTGGATTATAATATAAATGGGTGCAACTGACCGGCTCTTCTGCCCTCACCTCATGACAACCCATATACAAGTCCATCATCATGAAAAGAGATACCACGTCTTTGTCCGATATCCCACCAGTGTACGACTATGTCGTTGTTGGAGGAGGAACTTCCGGGTTGCTGGTTGCCAGCCGATTGACAGAAGACCCCGCAGTCAGCGTTCTGGTGTTGGAAGCTGGAAGCGATCGTGTCGACGATCCGCGTATCGCAGCTCCGGCCCTCGCGGCCAGTACCTATTTTGACCCTGAATTCGATTGGAGCCTTATCAGTGAACCTCAGGTAGATATGCAAGCCTTTGCAATACATGGTCCCTCAGATTGATGGGGAATAGGAAGGTCTTAATGGCCGACGCCTTGCTCAGTCCCGCGGTCGAACATTGGGAGGTTCCTCGGCTATCAACATGGGCATGGCAATCTACCCTAGCCGTAGCGATATCGACTCATGGGAGCAGCTGGGAAACTCGGGCTGGAACTGGAAGTCTCTCTCCACCTACATGCGAAAATCGCAGACATTCATACCGCCGTCGGATGAGATTCGCGACCAGCTGTCGCTTGGCTATGTCGACCCGGATGTTCAAGGGACCGATGGACCCATCCAGATTTCGTTTGGTAATGGGCCTTTTCCGGCGTTCACGGCTGCCTGGCCCCGGACCTTTGAGGCTTTGAATCATCGGCTGACAGGCGACCCAATGTCTGGTCTGGCCAAGGGTGCCTTTTGCAATCCGGCTACTATCCACGGGACCTCACGGGCTCGTAGTCATGCGGGCGTCGCCTATTATACTCCCGAAATAGCGCAACGCTCGAATCTCCGAGTCATCACCGAAGCATTTGTGGAGAAGGTCTTGCTCGACAAGACAGCGTGTGTCGATGACGGCCAAGCTATCGCGACCGGTATCCAGTTTCGAGGGAATGATGGAACCCAACGCACGGTGGCCGCAAGATCAGAGGTTATCCTAGCGGCTGGCACAATCAAGACACCGCATCTGCTAGAGCTCTCAGGCATCGGTGATGCAAAGCTTCTGCAAGCACATGGTATTGATATTACCATCGACAACCCTAATGTAGGCGAGAACCTGCAAGAACATGGCCTTGTCCCATTTACCTGGGAGGCTGCCGATGGTCAAATAACCGGGGAAGCTTTACGGGATCCTGAGGTAGCCAAAGCCGCCATGGAAGCATGGCAATCTTCGGGAGCTGGACCACTAGGCTCCCATCCATTAGGTTCGGCTTTCATGACTCTCCCGGAATTGGAAAACGGCGAGCTATCTGGCCTGATAGAAAAGCACCTGAAAGAGGACGGTTGCGCCAGACAGACGGCGCAGTACCGTATTCTTCGCCGATTTCTCGAAGATGACGACGAGCCAACGTGCCAGTATACGCTAGCACCATTCCAAATGACGCCTGACAAAGGCTCCGATCCTAGAGGCACCTTTAGCATGTCAGAGCCCGGAAACTACATTAGTATAGTGGCAGTCTTGAACCGGCCATTTTCCCGAGGTTCAGTACATCTAGCCTCATCAGATCCAACAGTGCTGCCGACTTTCGACCCTCGTATGCTGTCACATCCACTTGATCTGGAGATCCAAGCGCGTCATGTAATGTGGCTTGAGACGCTGGCAGCCACGGAGCCCATGGCATCGCTGCTGAAGCCGAATGGCCGTCGACTGCACTATCCAACGCGTGTGACGAGCCTTGAAACAGCGCGTGAGCTCACGCGGGACCGCTTGTTATGTCATTATCATGTTTCAGGAACGGCAGCTATGATGCCGCGAGAGATTGGGGGTGTGGTTGATGATCGGTTGAGGGTGTATGGATGTAGGAACTTGCGCGTGGTCGACGCCAGTGTGATCCCGTTGATTCCTCGCGGTAATATCCAGACGACAGTGTATGCTGTAGCGGAAAAGGCTGCTGATATAATCAAGGAGGATAGATTGGCTTCACTGTGAAGGGAAATGGCTCTTAAGTGCCTGGATATCTTGATTGAGACTTACTGTGGGGGGAAGAGACATAGTCATTTGGCTGATAGCGTGCCTTCATTGATGCTGCAACTGGAGGTAATCAAAGAAGTCTCATTATTACCTTTGATTGAAGTACCTCGGAATGGATGGAGTCGTTGATTGTGATCTGTCAAGACAAGCTTCCTGTTGTCAGTTCTAATGGCTTTCCTGCGGAGAGACCAGGGAAGGGAAGGAGTCTTAGAAGCAATAGCTAGAAGGTACGCCTTTTATCACCTGACCTACACTACGAAGAGATATACCCTTCTACATTCTTATTGCTGTACACCTTTGGCTCTCCTTTGTCTTCTGCACTGCATAATTCATATCTTGGCTACAATGTAGAGTCAGTCCAAGCTCGCTCAATCCTCAAGATGCAAACAGTCAATATCTAAGTAGCAGATACAGTTTGTTTCGTCATAATATGCAAATTGATATTCAAGTAAGCCCACAAGTATAATACAAACATAAGAAACGTATTCATCATAACTCATAAGTCGTATCCTGCAAAGAATCCCACGAAGCGATACCCGAACCGATTATAAAGGAACAATACGATAGAAATACATGCTGAGAATTATAACGTCATATAATCAGTCTGCCATACCCTCCACTGTTGAACAAGGTCCGTATCGACTATCAGAAAGTGACCTCACACATGTCCTAGAACCTTCAGTCAGTGTCATCACATACACGAATATAAGAAGATTCAATCACATACTTCCCAACGGCTTCGCCCTCTTCGTAATCGACTTCACCTGATCCTGCTTCATTTTCGCAGCGCGTGCTCTACCATCCAGTATTAGCATGTCTGACCAAAAGAAAGACAATGAGTAAGGAAGCAACTTACTCCATCTTCGCTTCCTCGTCCAATCTTCTCACATGTTCTCTGGCCTCACGCACTGCCCGTTTCGAAGCCATCAGTGCCCTATCAGCCTCCCGCTCAGCCGCCTCTGCGCGAGAAACCTGTTCTTTGGCGGCAAGAATGGATGGGTCTTCGTTCTTTCGGCTATGGCCGAAAAGGGAGTGGTTGTGGTGGCGGGAGGATGAAGGAGAAGTGGATGACGATGAGTAGTGGGAGTGGGAGCCGGAGGAGCGGCGGGAGCGACGGTGAGAGTGAGAGGATGTGGTGTTGGGGTCGTCAATACTGCTCCGGTCGGAGCTGGAGTGGGAGGATGAGTGAAAGAGGGGCATGTTGGCGATCCTGTGGCTTGCTCTTAGAGTATGGTGAGGCGATTGAGGCGATTGTCTGCGTTAGTGGATATTGGAGATGAGATTTTAGACGGTCGGGATGGTGGTAGTTGTGCTGTATATAGCTTTCCCTTTGTCTACACAATACCGAGAATTAAGGGCATACGTAAGTGGCGATCGATGCGAGACGGTGAAGAGGGCTCAATCAATCAGTCGATGATCATAGGTTGCGGCAGCATGAGATGTCTTGTTTATGGTTGGAGGAATCCTATAATTCCCACGTGGTTAATGTTTACCCCAGAAATGAGAGGATAGATTGGACCCACGGTAGAAGGATGACGATATTCTGGGCGACATAAACTATGCGAGTGGATGTGTGTTTCCGCGATGATGTCAAAGGGACCGTTGTGCCGTCCCGATAATGAAGCTGCGGAGGATAATTGGTCGCAAATCTGCGGTGACATCAGATCCGGCGGACGTGGCATCGCAAATATGCGCCAGCAAGGGGTGGTGTTGTTAGCTGCAATAGGTCATGTCAATCAGTCAGTGGCTGAAAAGGAAGCTTTTTCAATGTTGCACTACCTCATAGCTGAAGGTAGCTGCAGAATGGAGAATGAGCTTACAGGGCTAGAAGGGTAGTGGCTGCTTAGCATAATGCTTATGCCTGGACTTCCCACAGTGCCGACATAGTGGAGTGTCCCTTGGATAATAATGGTTTGTGTTTGGGCCATGTGTCTTTGTCTGTGTTTTCTTTGAATCGATGCACTGTTGTTGTTACTTCTGAGGTTGCAGTGTCTTTGATAACATTCTCTCTTAGATCAGGCAGCAGCAAAGACTGCACATAATCAACTTATTAGGATTTTCTTTGGGTTTCCTTTAGTATTATCGACCCAGCCGTCCCCGAATATCACGCGCTGTGATGATAGTGTCAATACTATCTGACCGAGGTGTATAGCTTTCGCGATGCTTGGTGTGGAAACTGATGATCCAGTCTGCCGGTACTCTTTGAGGCCTAGTTTCTCAGGCCTGTGGTCAAAGCTCATGGCATCATGCATTCATGATCAAACTGACCTGAAACGAGATCGCATCTATTTCTCTACTGTATTGGAAGGTGTGCAGTGTCCTCTAGGTAGGTATATCTTTTCAACTAAGTCAACATCACCGAGGAAAGCACATATAATCTGCAATCTGAAGCTGTACTCACGCACGAAATTTTGGTTAGGAGGGTTATCTACATCAGCATACTTTCATGGGATAAAATTACCGCTAAGCAAAAGCAAACCTCACACTGACGCCCAACCACATCTAATTCTGATGCAGCCATGATCAGTCGACACTCCACCCTCTACCCTCAAGATGAATATTTTCAAATACCCAAATTCCTTCCTCCAGACATCCCAATCATTCCCTTCCATCAACATCCATAACATTATACCCTATTTCCAAAATCAAAATGCTCAACTTCAAACCCAACCTCCTCCACAAACTCCCCCACCCCAATCGAACAACATCCTCCTCAATAATCAAACTCATCCTCTTATGTCTCCTCAGCTTCACCCTCCTCACACCGTGTCTAGCAGACCGCAGCGACACCAAAATAGCCAACGCCACCGTGACCTACGACTGGGAGACCCCCGACCAGAACCTCACAGTGATCTGGGATTGGGATATGGCCGAGACCGTGAGGGTATCTGCTGGGCATAGTAGGGCTCTTCGAAGCCTGTGGGAGGGAGGATAGGGATTATTGTTCTGGGTGCTGGGGTTGTTGGGGCTTTTTCGGTTTGGTGAGATTTGGATACAGGTCATATGAACCTGAGTTTATTGCTGGACTTGTGTCTTTTGGTCTGACTACTGTTCAATTTAGGAGAGTTGGAGTCGCTACTATATTCGTATACACAGTGGGAAGGAAGTAGGAATAGACTTGAAGTTCTAAGAGTATCATGACGGCCTTTCTTTCTCTCTAACATCCACCCATTATCACTAACTTACATGTTATCTAGCAGTAGAGCTCATCCTAGTAAACAATAATAGACAGACTATTATTCCAACTGCCTGTATATGCTACACACAACAGTGGAATGAACATATCACTGCGGTGGTAAGTAGTACTGCAGAAATATATTTTCCTCAGGTAACCACCCCACCCTACAAAAACGCCCAGCACACCAGCACTCTACTAACGGCCCCAAACAACCCCTCCATTCCAACCTTGGCAAGGCTTAAAGGAATACTACCCAAATGATAACCCCTGAAAATGCAAGGCACTGCAATGCAGCTGGGCATGAGCTTCGCATCCTCTGCCCCCTTCTCTCACATCGGCAGCAAAAAGCAAATTGCCAAGACACTAACTAACTATGGTGGTGGGTCTAAACTCCGCCGCAGAACAAAGCAGAGTTTGGGTCGGTCATACATACCCACATGATCCAAAGCAGAAAAGTTTTCTACACCAGCAAAAATTCAAAAAGATGACCGACGCAGGACTCGAACCTGCAATCTCTTGATCCGTAGTCAAGCGCCTTACCATTGGGCCAGCCGGCCTTGTTGAATGCCAGTAACAGGAAAGGGGTTTATATTTCGGGCGGACACTTGAATTCATCTAACTAGTATTCATATGGACAAAATCACAAAGGGTATGTATGCTATGCTGCATTGGATATCATGAACGTGAAAACAGAGACAGAAGGAAAGGGCTGTAATGTACAGGTGGACGTGAGGTATATATAGAGACGAAAAGAAGAGAAAGAAAGAAAGATCATGGGAATGATTGGCGCGACTCAGGTTCCTGATCGCTGTAGGGTTCAAGAAGGGCTTCCTTCTCGGAGATAGGCTCGCCGTCTTCGATGTTGATGATGGGAATGTTCTGCTGCTGCTGCCGGCGGCTAGCGGCGCACAGGTAGATGGAGATGATGAGACGACCCAGCAGGAATCCAACAATGCAGGCCACTCCACCAGCCATGATTCCCATCAGGGCGGGGAGGATGACCGGACGGGCGATCTTCATGATGCTCTGTTCACGTCCGGTCCAGAAAAAGTGGCCGCTCTGGCTGGAGGGGTAGTACTTGTTGGAGGAAGGGCGGCGGTGGGGGTGGGCGTCGGAAGATCCGGCCATCTTGTGAGGGTGCTCGTGGGCGTGTTCATGTTCATGCTCGTGTTCGTGCTTCGGGTGCTCCGGCTTGACGCAGTTCTTGACGGCCTCCTTGGCATGGTTGTAATATGTTTCGAGCTGTTCCTTCCAGGCCTTCATCTGCCAGACACGGTTTCCGTGACCATAATCGCGGCTACCGTTCGGGTCGATCATCGCCAGCTGCAGACCACCCTGTGCGTCACTAATTAGACTGATCGCAATGGTGTTCTGCGTGGCAGCTCGACCGTGCTGGTCGAAGAGACGGAGCTTGAGGTAGTAGATATCGCCCAGACCAGCGCCGGGACGAGCAGGCAGTGGCCGTACATCCAACGAGTAGGAGACCTGAACTGGCTGAACGAAGGACTCCCACTTGCGATCTGCTGTGAACTGCATCGGGACGGTAGCGGGGAAGATGGGTTGTTGGTTGGCTCGGAGGGTGCCATTCTGGGTGGAGAAATCGATGGTCTATCCAAGATGATTAGTATGGGATGATGGTCGACTGCGTTGATACGTGAGTACATACCAGTTGTGAACCAGAGTCAAAGGATTCCGTGCAAGTCGAGTCCGAGAAAGCGCAGGGGATAGCAGGAAGGTTGATTTGATGAGAACCAGCGGTAGAATGCAGCTGAGGTGCGGGCAGCGCTGCGGCGGCCGCAGTAGTGATGCACAAAGCACCAGTTGCGGATAGAAGGCGAAGCAACATAATGGTATGGATGGGATGGATGGATGTTGAAAGAGTGACAGGCTGTCAGGGATGAACTGAACAGTGGTTAAAGAATGACGGAGACGCGCGGGAAAAAGCTTATAGAAGTACTTTTGCTTTGTTGATTAGCAAAAGCAAGTAAGGAGAGACTGAGGAACTAATGCAGAACGAAGAGCGACCGGGCAAAGCATATAAAAGCGCATCAAATCAGTCCACAATGACAACATTCAGCGCTAACGGAGGGGCCGAAAAGTGATTGGGTCAGTGCAACTTCGGTCCAAAGAAAGAGGATGAAGCTAAGCTAAGGCTGAGCGACCCTGATTCACCGAGGGAAATGCAGGTAAAACTAAAATGCAGATGATGGGCTGCTCCGCCCGTTCTGATTGATCGCGCGGATCATCTTTTCCTTCGCGACGGAAGCGACGCCGTCCAACACAGCCTCGTCGCCAGTGCCGTTGGTTTCATGGTTGCCCTTTTTGGGGGCCAGGCACACTCCCCCTTCGCTTCCTTCACCTCTTTCAATTCCTTTCTTTCAATCCTTCTTTACTGTAAAAACGCTAAAACCCTAAACCGCCCCCAAGATATAACCATCTAACTAACCCCCCGTCAGCCACGCTGATGCAAAATGCAACGATCCGTCTTATTCGAATCATCCAGAAAAAGCGACCGATCTTCATCCTCACATCAAAGCACACTCGGATCATGGAACGACGGCGCTCAAAACACTGCCCTCCGCCCCAATTGGTTAGCTAATTAAGACTATTAGCACATGCTCTGTCTATGTACAAAGTAGTCTAGCGGCTATCTAGATACTACCAAATTCGACTCGGGGCACTTCCAGTGGCCATCTATCTATTCCTGGCCCAACTGTCTTGGATTTAGCGTGAGACAGTCCCAGTCCCAGTCCGTCAGGGTCCACTTTGCACGCGATGAACCCCTCAACTTTCAACTCCAACTCGCCGACAGGAACAAATCTACCCAATGGCAAAAGCCTCACTGGCCCCCACGGGCCATTGAGGCATAAACCGACCAGCCAATGCAGTCCTACCCATGGGAAGCTTAGCAACGAGGTTATCGAACTAGCTGGCTGGCTGGCTGGCTGACTGGCAGTCACCAACTAAGACACGGGTTGCCTGCTTTGCCCCTGGGCAAATTACTACTCTTCTTTTAACCTTTTATTACTAACTACCCCTGACACCTTACCAATGGCACTCGCTCTCCACGACGGGCTGTTCCGACCGTGGAGATGCAAGCACAACGATTGGAATAGTGGAAGAAATTTTCTTTCCTGCCGATCATGTGAACAAATTTACAATTTGGATAGGATAGAAGGATACCTTCGGACATGACTCTCTCCGCCCCTTTGTCTTGCCGAATGCGCTCCCGAAGATCCTCCGATGTCTTCTGCTTCTCTTCTCTTAGTTATGCCCGACGGCGCTTTTCTGAATAATCGCGAGTCTGCCTAGTGCCCACCGACGGACTCCGCGGCGACCGCCTTACTACTTACGAGGTTAGGCAGCCGTGGTTATCTCCGATCGCAATTGGTCGTCTCGGCATAGCTGAGGAACCTCGGAGTACTAAGTAGGCACCAAACATACAACTTTTTCTTCGGCTTCACCTTCCGTACGGTGTCACTATCTATTTAGTCACCGTTGCTGTGCCTCATTTAGATTTTAGATAGTGTGTAGTGGGCCTAGCGACTGGCACATATCAAGTCAAGCTCTCCGAGTTGGCGGCATTTGCTCCGACCAAGCATTCTAGCGCTAGCGCTAGCGGAGAAATTGCTGCTATTTTTACTAGCATTTATCGCCGTCATTTTATGGTCTGAGAATTTTGCCATGTCTCACTGCAATTAGACTATTTACCGAACAACTCAATGGTCTCCGGGACCTGAATTTTGAGAGGTTCAAATGCGGCTCAAGGCCGTGTTGATCATTGGCAGAGTAGCAGATTGCCGTTGCATTCAATATCCAACTCAATTATAATCACTAAATAACCGCACTGAATCTGCAGGGCCCAGACTAACCAGTGGGAAAATTGAATGGGGCGATAGTGTGGAAAAGGCATACAGGCTCTTCATCCAGTAATGTTCCACCAGAATCGACACCGGCCCGAGTTCACCGGATCGGAGGTGATCGCAATATCTTGCAGTCCCAAATTCATCACGCGCCTATCTTTCGAGTATTCCTCCCACTCGATGGCCACATTCTCGGCCGAAGTGGGAAAGCCTTGATTCAAAAACGTAATGATATAATCCTGCATGGTCAGCGCGAGACTTGCGTTGAATAGCCCCAGTTCCGTATCGGGCTGGGAATGGTCCCAGAAGTTGAATGCCACATCTTGGGCATGCACACCCGGTGGCACGCTGAATACCGACGCGTATGAGGTATCGAATACATTATCGAGGTAGAGGTTCTTGCATTGAAAGAATGCATCGCTCATGAAGACCGATGTCCGCTCTAAGGGATTGCTATATCCCAATGTCTCCGAGGATAAGGATGAAGCGTTGTAGACCGGGGGATACCAATATTGGACGATTTGATCCACAGTTTCGGGCGATATACTTGGAATATAAGTCTCGATGAGGGATTGAAAGGCTGAGCTGTTCATGCCTGCTGGCGGAGTGAAAGTCAGCCCTTCATTGATTGTGTGGCTTGTCATCACGCGTATGTTCTTCCATTTGAAATCTGGATCCAGTAGAATCCTGCTTGGAAGATCTGTTATGAATGTGTCATCAATAACCGGCCCATAAGTATATGTTCCGTACACAGATGTAGTAGCTATCTGGTAGGCATTAGCAGTAATCAGCTGATTTGATGGAAGCTGACGGGCCTCTTCGAGAGAGGTCACGTTCAATAATTCCAGGAAGTGTTGTAAAGTCGACTTCTGTAGTTCAACTGATTGCATATACCACCCTGGGCTCTGAATAATCGCCTGCTGGAAAGGCACCTCCCTCTCCACCCCCGTAGATGCTGCCAATTGATGGACGATAGAACCACCTCCAGCAGACTCACCCATGACAGTCACTCGCCCAGGATCACCACCAAACAGCCTAATATACTTTTTCACCCACTCCAATGCTAAGCGTTGATCATAAAGCCCAGCATTGCCC